CACCATGACCCGCCCCCAGGCCCCGCCCCCCCAGGCCCCGCCCCCCCAGGCCCCGCCCCCCGGGCGCACCTGGAGTCGTGCGAGGGCGGATTGGAGCTGCAGCACCTGGGCCTGCTGCTCCTGCACGGCCTCGCGCTGCTCCTGCACGCGCCTGCGGGGGGGGCGGGGCTCGGTCACCCACAGGGGAGTGTCGCGAGAGGGGTCGGGAGTCGCGACATGACGTCACGCACCTCAGGTCCCGCTGCAGGACGTCGCTGACGAAGGCCTCGTAGCGCTGCGTCTTCTCCGCCGCCGCCATGATGCGTCTGACGTCATGGCGGCGGCGCCGGCCGGATGTGCGTCATCAAGGCGCGGCCGCAGCGGGTTGTGAGCGCCCCCTGGCGGGCGGGAGGTCCAAAGGCGGCTTTGACTCCGCCTGTCGCGGGGCTCATATCGCGATATCCCCCCCGGCTGTACCTGTCCAGGTGTGTCTGTACCTGCCCCAGGTGTGTCTGTACCTGTCACAGGTGTGTCTGTACCTGTCCAGGTGTGTCTGTACCTGCCCCAGGTGTGTCTGTACCTGTCCAGGTGTGTCTGTACCTGCCCCAGGTGTGTCTGTACCTGTCCAGGTGTGTCTGTACCTGCCCAGGTGTGTCTGTACCTGTCCAGGTGTGTCTGTAACTGCCCCAGGTGTGTCTGTACCTGTCCAGGAGTGTCTGTACCTGTCCAGGTGTGTCTGTACCTGTCCAGGTGTGACTGTACCTGTCCAGGTGTGTCTGTACCTGCCCCAGGTGTGTCTGTACCTGTCCCAGGTGTGTCTGTACCTGTCCAGGTGTGACTGTACCTGCCCCAGGTGTGTCTGTACCTGCCCAGGTGTGTCTGTACCTGTCCCAGGTGTGTCCCCTCCCCCTCCCGTCCCCCACCCCCAATGTCCCCTCTGTGGCCACCCCTCCCCCACCCCTTTCTCATCCCCCTCAGAACCTTCCGGAAATTCTCCCCCCAAATTTGGGGTTCCCACACGGCCCCTCCCCCCCTACCGGAAGTGACGCAGCCTCAGCAGCTCAGGGATTTATTGGCGCCAAAAGGGGCGGGGCCAAGCAGGGTGTGGCCGAGCGGGGGGCGTGGCCAAGCGGAGGGGGCGGGGCTGACACAGCAGAGCGCACGGAGAGACCCCACCCCAATTTGGGGCTGGGGGAGGGGCGTGGCGAGCACTGAGCAGGGGGTGGGGGAGGGGAGCGGTGGATTTGGGGGTTCCAGGGGCTGTTTTTGGGCCGCTTTTGGGTGGTTTTGGGCTGGTCTTGAGGTGTTTTCGGGGTGTTCCCAGGGGTGTTTTTGGGGTGTCTCCCGGGGTGTTTTCGGGGTGTTCCCAGGGGTGTTCCCAGGGGTTTTTTTGGGGGGTCCCGGGGGTGTTTTTGGGCTGTTTTTGAGGTGTTTTTGGGGTATTTTTGGGGTTTCCCCCGGGGTGTTTTTTGGGGTGTATTTGGGCTGGTTTTTGGGTGTTCCCAGGAGTGTTTTTGGGGTGTCACCAGGGGTGTTTTTGAGGTGTTTTTTGGGTGTTTTTCAGGTTTCCCCCGGGCTGTTTTTGGGCTGTCCCCTGGTGTGGTTTTGGGGTGTTTTTGGGCTGTTTTTTGTGGTACTTCTGGGGTGTTTTTGGGCTGGTTTTGGGCTGTTTTTTGGGTGTCCCCCGGGGTGTTTTCGGGGTGTCCCGGGCTGTTTTTGGGGCGCTCAGTCGGCGAACAGGCTGGCGAAGCTCTGCCGCAGCGCCCTCAGGCTCTCGGGCGGGCCCTGCTCGGGGGCGGGGCTGCGGAATTTGGGGGTTCAGGGGGGGCTCGGGGGGGCCCGGGGGGGGCCGGGGCTCGGCCCCCCCCCC